TTTATAGTTTCCATCCCCATCAATGTTTATGATGGAACGCTTCCCCCTACCCAAGGAAAGGAGCGAAGCTGCTGCTGTTTTACACTTTAGCTACTAAGAACAAAAAGTTCCAAGTAGCACGGGCTATGGTGAGCCCGTAGTGGTCTTGGGAGCGAAGCACATTAGCTAAGACTTATAGACCAGTCGCACTAACGTCCCACCTAATAATTGAAATCTATCAGGATATATCTAACCTGAGAGAGTGATCAGGAGTCAGGTCACCAGTTTTATGGAGACTAATGACCTCCACAACCCAGGACAACTTGGATTTAGAGCGGGAAACCCCATATACCTGCTTGATACCTGGTTGATGGGGTTCTGTGAGTTCTTCTACTCTCCAAACCCGGCCCGAGGCCAGGCTTGACTTGTGAGAGCTTGGTCCACCAGGCTGTTGCTTGGAGCGGCCCGCAGGCCCACATACCCACCACAGCCCGGTTGGTCCAGCACTTCTTTTAGAAAACAGTCTAGTTTTCTCTTGAAGATGTCCACGGTGGTTCCGGCAATATTTCTTATAGTCACTCTCGTATGGCTCTCGCAGCTACTCGACATCTGTGACAAAATCACTGATGCATTAGAAGAAAAGATGTGGCATACACGGACTTTGTAAATGTGTTTGATAAATGTGACCATGGAATGAGAGCTCAGAAAGTGAGATCAATTGGAATAACAGGTAAAGTTGGCGGAAGGATATTCAATTATCTGTCAAACAGAACGCAATGAGTAACAGTAACTGCTTTTAATGAGTAACGGTCAGAAAAAAATTGTCCGAGCACAGTTAGAAGCTCTGTTCCTCAATTGTCCATTCAGTTAAAAGTTCTGTACCTCAATTGTTGATACCTCAACCAGGTATCAACCAGGTCCGAGCACAGTTAAAAGCTCTGTACCTCAATTGTCCAATCACAGTTAAAAGCTCTGTACCTTAATTGTCCAGGCACAGTTAAAAGCTCTGTACCTTAATTGTCCAATCACAGTTAAAAGCTCTGTACCTCAGGGCACAGTCTCTGCACCACTCTTTCACTTGTAATCACATCACATATAGACAAAAGTACTGTACAAGTCACAGCTTCGTATCATCTTTTACAGATGAGACAAAAATCAGCGTGCAAATTACTTCAGTAGAAGGCATTGAAAATTACAAGCAAATAATAATATTATGAGTATTTTATTACCCAGCAGAAAATAAAATGAAGTTTAACAGTGATAAATTCCAGGTATTGTACTTAGGTACGGTAAAAATGAAGACCTAAATCAAAATACAGGGTACAAATGCAATTGAATTGTCTCATAGTAGGAAAAGCTAGGAAAAAACTATAAAAATATGATTAATACAACACAACCTAAACGCTGTCGACCAGGGCGTCTAAATACACCCACAACGTTGACTCTGTCGACCAGGGCGTCTAAATACACCCACAACGTTGACTCTGTCGACCAGGGCGTCTAAATACACCCACAACGTTGACTCTGTCGACCAGGGCGTCTAAATACACCCACAACGTTGACTCTGTCGACCAGGGCGTCTAAATACACCCACAACCTAGACGTTGTCGACCAGGGCGTCTAAATACACCCACAACGTTGACTCTGTCGACCAGGGCGTCTAAATACACCCACAACCTTGACGTTGTCGACCAGGGCGTCTAAATACACCCACAACCATGACGCTGTCGACCAGGGCGTCTAAATACACCCACTACGTTGACGCTGTCGACCAGGGCGTCTAAATACACCCACAACCTTGACGCTGTCGACCAGGGCGTCTAAATACACCCACTACGTTGACGCTGTCGACCAGGGCGTCTAAATACACCCACTATGTTGACGCTGTCGACCAGGGCGTCTAAATTAATACACAGTTCTCACAATTTGACGCTTGTCGGGTGGAGAGGGCGGGCCTGGAGGCCTGGACGACCACACGGCTCCCACTTGAGGTCCTGGCGGGAAAGGGGATGGGGGGGGGGGGGAGGCAGGATTTATACGATAGGGGACAGATTTTATATGGTGGGGTCAGGCTTTATCTAGTGAGGGGCAGGATTTATGTAGTGGGGGGCAGGATTTTAACTTGTTGCATTTTTCAGCATTAACGATGAAGAATGAGAGAGAGAGAGAGAGAGAGAGAGAGAGAGAGAGAGAGAGAGAGAGAGAGAGAGAGAGAGAGAGAGAGAGAGAGAGAGAGAGAGAGAGACAGAGAGACAGAGAGACAGAGAGACAGAGAGAAGGGGAGGGAGAGAGAGGGAGAGACAGACAGAGACAAGAGAGGGAGAGGGAGGGAGAGAGAGATGGAGAAAGGGAGAGAGGGAGGGAGAGGGGGTTTCCTGTACACACACATGCGTCGAAGAGGGTGAAGTCAAATAGAAAAGTGAAGAATGCCGACGAAGGGAGGGCGGAGAGACAGGCAAGGATCAACGAGAGACATGAATGGGGAACAAAATAGGGACGGGGGGGGGGGAGAGGACAGGGAGGTGTCAAGCATTTGGTATGGAAAGAACAGCTGAGCAGCGGAGTGTCGGAGTCTGTAGTGAGAGTGATGGACATCTAAGAGACAACAGTAATATGTGTAGAGTAATTAACCCCACCTTGTTTGAGTTAGGAAAATATTGTTTGTCAAATATAGATACAGTTCTCAAGAGATTCCCCCCCCCCCCATTTTGCACCCACTATTTAGCTGGGTGCAAAAGCCTCGGGCCGGCCACGGTGACTAGAACAACTCCCAGAACTCCAATCAAGCAGGTAATTAGTAACGTAACTTTAGGGGTTGGTAAATGTTAATCTTCTTGCTTGATAAACTGTTCACTTAAGTTGGGGGGTTAGAAATAGTCTAAGCTACTCTATCCCTTTGAGATGTATTTCTTTCTTGTCTCAATAAACATACTTGAACTTGTTCACTTCAGCACGTGTTAAAGTTACGGTTAAGTAAGTCCCAGCTGTGTCTGGGTGCAAGTGACAGGATAACCAACCCAGCGGGTTTTCTTCCTATTGGGGAGTGTTGAACATGTCACTATGGAGGTGTGTTCACTCACAAGATGAGTGACGCTCCCCAATAATTTTGACGCCCTTTGGGGCAAAATTAAAAAAAAAGGAAGGAATGGGGATGGAAGGGAAGGAATGGGACGTTGGGGATGTTCACACCGAACATAATTTTTGTTTAATTTTGACCCTAGGGGCGAGTTTATTGGGCAGTGCCACTCATCCTGAGAGCTGAGTGGTCAGCGCTTCGGATTCGTAGTCCTGAGGTTCTGGGTTCGATCTGCTTGATACCTGCTTGATGGGGTTCTAGGAGTTCTTCTACTCCCCAAGCCCAGCCTGACTTGTGAGAGTTTGGTCCACCAGGCTGTTGCTTGGAGCGACCCGCAAGCCCATATACCCACCACAGTCCGGTTGGTCCAGTACTCCTTGGAGAAAATGTATCTAGTTTCCTCTTGAAGATGTCCACGGTTGTTCCGGCAATATTTCTTATGCTTGCTGGTAGGATGTTGAACAACCGCGGACCTCTGATGTTCATACAGTGTTCTCTGATTGTGCCTATGGCACCCCCTGCTCTTCACTAGTTCTATTCTGCATTTTCTTCCATGTCGTTCACTCCAGTATGTTATTTTACTGTGCAGATTTGGGACCTGGTTTTGCATTCCCGGGGGAGGCGGAAACAAATGGGCAGAGTTTCTGTCACCCTGACGCCCCTGTTCACCTAGCAGTAAATAGGTACCTGGGCGTTAGACAGCTGCTACGAGCTGCTTCCTGGGGGATGTGTAACAAAAAGGAGGCCTGGTCGAGGACCTGGCCGCGGGGACCCTAAGCCCCGAAATCATCTCAAGATTACTCAAGATCCCGTGAGTGGACACACCGCCATAGCAGCATGTTCACCAACCCCCCCCCCCCTCAATAGGAAGAACATCACCCTGAACATGTGACACAATATTTCGTTATTGCATTATTTTCAAGTGGCAACCATTAGGCTTGTAAGGGGTAAGGGGTCTGTGGGTAAGGGGTCTGTGGGTAAGGGGTCTGTGGGTAAGGGGTCTGTGGGTAAGGGGTCTGTGGGTAAGGGGTGTGTAATAGGTATATCTGGCCGACGTCCATTAGATTACCCCTCTGCTGGTTGAAAGAGTCGAGTAGTGATGCTGCTGCGAGCAGCCGCATCCAACAGCTTGGTTGAGCAGACTACCAACCAAGAGGCCTGGTCAGAGACCGGACCGCGGGGACGTTGATCCTCGGAACCGTCACAAGGTAGCCACAAGCATGGTCAGTGACCGGGCCAAGAGGAGGTTGATCCTCGGAACCACCTCACGATAGCCGCTTAGTTGCTATTCACTTCCCTCTCGTGGTCGCTGGTTGTCTCCCCTCGTGTTGGTGTTCAGGGTCCCGCCCAATTTACCGCTTGTCCTGATCCTCCCCTCTGCTGTCTCACTCTTAACCCCCCCCTCACTCACACACACACACACACACACACACACACACACACACACACACACACACACACACACACACACACTCACTCACTCACTCACTCACTCACTCACTCACTCACTCACTCACTCTCTCACTCTCTCACTCTCTCTCTCTCTCTCTCTCTCTCTCTCTCTCTCTCTCTCTCTCTCTCTCTCTCTCTCTCTCTCTCTCTCTCTCTCTCTCTCTCTCTCTCTCTCTCTCTCTCTCTCTCTCTCACGGCAGTGTATAACCCTTTCTCCCTCAGTTGAAAGGCAGTGTATGACCCCGCTCTCTCCCTTCACATAAATTGGACGTCTTTGGCTTTTTTTTCCTTTCCTCGAATTTGGATGAAAGTGTGTGTGTGTGTGTGTGTGTGACCCTTCTCTCTCTCTCTCTCTCTCTCCCCCACCACTCAATTGGACGTCAGTATATGACCTTTAATTGGACGTCAGTGTGTGACCCTTGTCTACCCCACCCCCCACCCCCCCGTTAATTGGACATCAGTGTGTGACCCATCTTTCTCTTATCTTCCACAGTACGACGGGACGCAGGAGGTCCTTGTGGAACCGGAGCTGTTGCGCCGTTGTCCGCTGGGTTCCGGGCCAAAATATGGCTGGAGGCTGTGGAACCAGGACGGGAAGGAGATATACGTGTACACCATCAATTCACCCACCCTCCTCCTCCACCCGATCTACGACGAGTCTTTCACCGTGTTGGGCGACTTGGGCGTCTCGCCCCAGCAACCCACGCTACGAGAACTTAACAGCAGCGCCCGAGATTTCCTCCCGACCTCTTCGCGGAAGGAACCTGGCACAGCCGCGTGGCAGTTTCCCACGAGTCAGGCGGGACTTGGCATCACCCCTCGACATGGTGACAGGAACCAACACCAGCCCACTGGTTCACGGCGGCCAACGAGCAACGCCTCCGGTGATGGTTCCTCGCGGCAGGAGCAGCCCCACGCTGTTCATGAGAGGCGTGGAGCCTCGAGCCTTCAGAAGTCCCTGGAAGATGGGAAGTACCTGGTGCAGCTGACCATCCAGGAGACGGACACGCATGTGGAGGCCTCCTTCAACACTACCTTCAGCATCAGTGCCATTCGTCTTAAGTGAGTCATCTTAACCCCCACTATTCCTTCCCAGCATCTCACTCTTCCTCTACTTCCTTTTATCCCTCCCTCTTCTACCGTCCTACTTTCCTCCTTTTCATCTTTCTTCTCTTCCTTCCTCTACCATATCCTACCCTTCGTCCTTTCCTCTTCTATCTTTCCTCCCTCCCCTTTTCTGCCCTTTCCCCTCCCTTCTTTTCCACTCTTATCTTTCCTCTCACCCTCCCTGTCTTAACCTAAGTTGTTGTTTTTAGATTCAGTTACTAGGAACAAAAAGTTCCAAGTAGCACGGGCTATGGTGATCCCGTAGTGGACTTACCAGGCATAGGAGCTGAGCTGTAACTGGGGCTGTCTTAACCTCTCTCTCCCTTCCTTACATACCCTTCATTCCTCCTTTCCACCCCCCTTCCACCTCCCTCCATCTCCTCCCCTTCCACTACCCTTGACTGTGGGCTTGTTGTCTATTGAAATATCAACACAACTTCAGCGAATTATAGTTCAAAATTATATATTAAATTAGTTTTAGGTATAAATGTTTTAAATATGCATTTGGCTCAGTAAGGTTGAGTTTCGGGTCATCCTATGCTAGATCGTCACAAAAGTGTACTTCTCAACCTCGACCATCTCAGATTTTCAAGAAATCTGGTAAGATGGAAGATGACACGAAGGAACATGTCATCTGAGGTTCTAATTGAGGTTCTACCTCAATTAGAAGCAAAGTTATGATATTTTGTTGAGCCAGTATGCATTTTTTTTTATCATATATGCATGGATATCATGCATCACTGGGCTTGCTAAAATTGTACTTATGTGACTTACTTCACCTCCACCGTCTTAACAAATTCCAAGTAAATCTCAGATGGTCGCGTTGGGAGCCGTGTTGATTTAGCATGTGGGCAAAGGCTCATTCATATTATTATTATAATGAGAACACAAATATAATACTATAACAGTATAATGTTTCAGTAGAGAAGTACTTCCTGCAGCCTAGCATGATAATATAGCATAAATAAATAATGTTTATATAAATTATATATATTTTTGTTACATATATTAATGTTTATTGTGTGTGTGTGTGTGATTAGGGTGGTGTTCATGGACGGGACGGAGCGAGACGTGGACGCTAACTCCAACATCACACTCCGGGTGGAGGTGACGGCGCCCACACCCAACTACACCCTGGAGTGGGCGTGCCGCCTCGCCGCCGACCCTGACTCCGGCTGCTTCACTGACCCTGATCCTTGGGACACCTTCACGGCCACCCGCCGCGTCGCCGACCGCCTCGTCGTGCGACTCTGGCACATTTGGGACATTCTTCACGACGACGACGGTGATGGCAGTCGGGGTCTTCATCCTTCATCGGTGACCACAACCACCTACGCTGACGAGGATACCAACACATTACGCTACAAAGCCTCGCCGTCAGAAAACACCCTTCCGAGAGCAGCAGCAGCACGGGCGTGGACTGCTTCGCCGCTCTGGAAGCGCGCTCATACGGCGAAGATCCCGCTCTCGAAGCGCTCGAGTGTGAAGTACATCGAGACCATCAGCTTTCCCGCCTCCTCCCTGCTACGTGGCGAAGACAAGTTCATCGTGAGTGTCTCTTGTAGATACCATCTCATGGCCTCCTCTGACCAGCAGCTGATCGTCATCCAGTCCCCCAGAGACAGGTGAGTCGCGTGAGAGTTTATCGGGCGAGTGACGGTGCTTGCAGAGAGAGAGAGAGAGAGAGAGAGAGAGAGAGAGAGAGAGAGAGAGAGAGAGAGAGAGAGAGAGAGAGAGAGAGAGAGAGAGAGAGAGAGAGAGAGAGAGAGAAAGAGAGAGAGAGAGAGAGAGGAGAGAGAGACGAACTGTTGTATATTGGTTTCATGTAATGGAAAAAACAATGCTCCTTTGGGGAAGCCTTGAGGGCCGAGGAAACCGACTGGAGGCTTCAGGGGGAGGAAGAGGCGATTCTTCTCCGGCCTCGGTAGACTAATTGCTGGCAGTTTGAAGTAACGGAGCAAGACAGGGAAAGAATGACCTCATTTGCTGAGAAATTGACTCTCGTAGGCAGCGCCAGGGATGAGGCCAATGTTTCCGTGTGAGTGTGGATCCTTCCGAGACTTGGGGAGGCGATGCCTGGGTGCCTCTTGGTTATGCAAGTGGGAGGGTTCTGGGGGGTTGGTTAGGAGAGTGCGGAGAAGGTTCTGGATGGTTGGTTAGGAGAGTGCGGGGGGGGGGGAGGTTCTGAGTGGTTGGTTAGGAGAGTGAGGGGAGGGTTCTGGATGGTTGGTTAGGAGAGTGCGGAGAAGGTTCTGGATGGTTGGTTAGGAGAATGCGAAGGTTCTGGATGGTCGGTTAGGAGAACGCGGAGAAGGTTCTGGATGGTTGGTTAGGAGAATGCGGAGAAGGTTCTGGATGGTTGATTAGGAGAGTGCGGAGAAGGTTCTGGATGGTTGGTTAGGAGAGTGCGGAGAAGGTTCTGGATGGTTGGTTAGGAGAGTGAGGGGGGGTTCTGGGTGGTTGGTTAGGAGAGTGCGGAGAAGGTTCTGGATGGTTGGTTAAGGAAGTAGACGAAGGTTCTGGATGGTTGGTTAGGAGAGTGCGGAGAAGGTTCTGGATGGTTGGTTAGGAGAGTGCGGAGAAGGTTCTGGATGGTTGGTTAGGAGAGTGCGGAGAAGGTTCTGGATGGTTGGTTAGGAGAATGCGGAGAAGGTTCTGGATGGTTGATTAGGAGAGTGCGGAGAAGGTTCTGGATGGTTGGTTAGGAGAGTGCGGAGAAGGTTCTGGATGGTTGGTTAAGGAAGTAGACGAAGGTTCTGGATGGTTGGTTAGGAGAGTGCAGAGAAGGTTCTGGATGGTTGGTTAGGAGAGTGAGGGGAGGGTTCTGGGGGTTGGTTAAGGAAGTAGACGAAGGTTCTGGATGGTTGGTTAGGGTTGAATATGAAGGTTTTGAATGGTTGGTTAGGGTTGTAGAAGGTTCTAGACCATCGGTTATGAAAGCGAATGAATATCACGGGAAGAGAATGGATGACTGGATTAGGAAGGTTCGTCTTAAAGTTTTGGTAGACCATCCGTCCACTGCTGTTTGATGCGGTCAGTCCGGGATACCCCGGGGACAGGGAGGGGGGGGGATAAGATTAGACAGGGAACACACCTTTCTAAATTCCTGATATTGAAGAGGTCAGTGCAGGAATTATTATTTGATGCTGCACAACAAAATATGAACTGGTCTCAGACCTGTACCGGCATCATTATGGCGTCACATGTCTCATGTACATCATATACTGAGGCAACGGGGGGGGGGGGGGTGTTTATACTGATGAAACCAGGAGGATGTTTATATTCAGGCAACATGTGAGTGGGGGATGGAATGCAAGATTGAAAACGCTTTTTTTTTAATAATCTTACATGTGGGAGGATAGGACGGATCTTATATATGGAAGGGCGGGGGGGGGGGGGGAGGATAGATTTTAAATGTGGAAGGATGAGTTGGGATGAATCCTCCCCCCCCCCACAGTCATCTCTCTTCCATGAATACATTATAGGGGTCCTTCCCCCCCACCGTCGCCTTTGGCTCTTATTGAGTTTGTCTCCTTCCATTCTCTGGAAAAGCCCCCCCCCCCACCTCTTTGATATCTTTTTGCTTGCTAGTGCCTCCCTTTATGGTGTAACTTCAACCCCTGGCCGTGTCTCCGGGTCGCGGTGTTGGCGAGTGAGAGGGACAAAATGTTCCAGGAAGTTTCATTTGATTCGTTTTAGTCATTTTCCGAGGGGAAAAAAGTGAAAGTTTATATATTTTTTAGTATCAAGGTATTTGGATTTTCTTCTGCGAATCACAATTTTTTTTTATATAAGCACAGAAGAACCTTTTTGAAAGGGAGAGGAAGAGGGGAAATTGCAAGAGAGAGGGAGAGAAAATTTAGGGGAGGGAGAGGCTGGTGGGACTTAGGTGAAAGGGTTGGAAATTGAGGGATGTAGGGAGAAGGGATTGAATGAACATCGCGACCCGATACCGCACTGTGGTTACCTGGTTGATACCTGGTTGATGGGGTTCTGGGAGTTCTTCTACTCCCCAAGCCCGGCCCGAGGCCAGGCTTGACTTGTGAGGGTTTGGTCCACCAGGCTGTTGCTTGGAGCGGCCCGCAGGCTCACATATCCACCACAGCCCGGTTGGTCCGGCACTCCTTGGAGGAATAAATCTAGTTTCCTCTTGAAAATGTCCACGGTTGTTCCGGCAATATTTATCGATAGTGTGGTATCGTGGCTCCGATACCACACTGTTTGGGGCTCTGGTGAAGGGGGAGGGGGGGAGGGTGACCCCCATGAAGGGCTAGATGACATTAGTCTCTGGTTCCTTGGAATTCCCTTCACACGAGGTTGGTATGGAACGATGGTGAAAGGGTCGAGATGAGTTGCCATTGTGGCAACCCAGACTAGTTCTTGGATAGTAGTTAGGTGCTGTGGTGAATGGTGAGGTGCTGTGGTGAATGGTCGGGTGTTGTGGTGAATGGTGAGGTGCTGTGGTGAATGGTGAGGTGCTGTGGTGAATGGTCAGGGGCTGTGGTGAATGGTGAGGGGCTGTGGTGAATGGTGAGGGGCTGTGGTGAATGGTCAGGGGCTGTGGTGAATGGTCAGGGGCTGTGGTGAATGGTCAGGAGCTGTGGTGAATGGTCAGGGGCTGTGGTGAATGGTGAGGGGCTGTGGTGAATGGTCAGTGGCTGTGGGGAATGGTCAGGAGCTGTGGTGAATGGTCAGGGGCTGTGGTGAATGGTGAGGGGCTGTGGTGAATGGTCAGTGGCTGTGGGGAATGGTCAGGAGCTGTGGTGAATGGTCAGGTGCTGTGGGGAATGGTCAGGAGCTGTGGTGAATGGTGAGGTGCTGTGGTGAATGGTGAGGTGCTGTGGTGAATGGTGAGGTGCTGTGGTGAATGGTGAGGTGCTGTGGTGAATGGTGAAGTGCTGTGGTGAATGGTCAGGGGCTGTGGTGAATGGTCAGGTGCTGTGGTGAATGGTCAGGTGCTGTGGTGAATGGTCAGGGGCTGTGGTGAATGGTCAGGTGCTGTGGTGAATGGTCAGGTGCTGTGGTAAATGGTGAGGTGCTGTGGTGAATGGTCAGGGGCTGTGGTGAGTGGTCGGGTGCTGTGGTGAATGGTCAGGTGCTGTGGTGAAAGAGCACTGTTATAGTGAATGAGTAGTGTTATAGTGAAAGGTCAGATGTTGTGGTGAATGGTCAGGTATTGTAGTAAATGAGCAGTGTTGTAAATGTAAGGCGTGGGCGAAGGAGTGACAGTATTATACAGTGTACGGTGGTTAATGAATCCTGTGTTTTCTCTTGTCTCCTGCAGTGTGGGTATACTAAGCCATCTGGGGACCCAGTTCCCCTTCGGCGCCGCCCGGAGGATTGTCTTCGAGAGTGAGTGCATGTCGTGCTCGCCACAAGAGCTGTCGTCACTGAGTTACTCGTGGCACCTGAAAATGATCTACGAGGGCCCGGAGCTCGAGGCCACTACCAGAGCCAGAGAGGGCAAGGAGGACTCAAAGGATATGGCATTACTTGAGGCCATACGACAGGGTCGCTCAGGGAAGGGCTTCCTGCCACGCCCACGGGACTATTTGAGGGCATATAATGCGACATTCGCGCAGGCGCCGTTGTATCAGTCCGTTCAGCGAGAGGAGGATGAGGATTCCCTGCTTTCGTACACGCAATACTTCAATGCAAGGGATCTGCAGAAACTTGAAGGACTTGTCACGCCAGATATGGCAGCCCGAGCCCTGGAAATGGAGAGCAGGTGGAAAGAAGCTCGCCAGTCTAGTCACAAGAGGGAGAAGGGCCAAACTGGAACACACACGTTTGGCAGGCTAAAACGTAGTGTCCAGTCGCCATCCCTTCAGCGTGGGTGGGGGCGGAGCGGAGAGAAGAATACGGGCGGCAGTGGTCGTGCATCACCGTCAACACACCACCCTGGCGACGCCCAGCACCACCAGATGAAGGACTACCACCGTACATCTTCCACCCAAACCAATAAGCGTCGGGGGGTTGTTGGCCGTCAGTTAAGCTTGTGGACGCGGGGAGAGGACAGGGCCCACGACACCACCTCGCTGGATCCCCTCCCCATAACCTCAGCTGAGGTCGTGCCACGCAACGACTGGGAGGCAAGAAAGGAAGAGGTTCCAGACTCATCCTGGAACGCGATAAAAGGAACAAGCGCCATGGCGCACCGAAATATGGAAAGGAAAGATTCAAGGAAACTGCAACAAGTAGAGGCTGGCTCCCTGCCACCACCACTATACCCCCATGCGGAAAGAGTAAACTCAGGAAATAGCGGGAGAAAATTCCAGACGCAAGAAGGAATGTTTTCCGCGCGCCAGAATGTGGCTGACAAAGACACAAGGCTGGCGTACGCTGACGGGGGAGGACGTGGCAGATCGCGCAGTAATGAGAGGCTCGAGCAACTCCAGGCAGCGGGGAAAGTTCAGGATATCCTGCAGCTTCATTCGCACGAGATGATTCCTCATGGAGGCAGAGCAAATGATTTTGAGAGAAAGGAACTTCACAAAGAGGAGAAAGATGTGGAGAGAGTGAGTGGGGGTAATAGAGGAGAGATGCTGCGGCAAATGAATGAGGGTAATCACGGAGGGCGTGACGACCAGCCCGGGGGCGGAAGCGAGAAGAGAAAAAAGTGGAGACAAATGATTGTGTCGGGCGGCGGCAGAGGCGAGGCACAAGCCAGAGTTACGACTGAGGATCCGGACGAGGGCGTGAGCTTCGCCAGCACATTAAGCAACTCGCAGGTAACCGAGCGAGGAGATTCGGGGCCTGACAAGGAGTCCCGGGAGGATTTACGCCGAGCAGGGGTCACGCAGGTCACAGTGGAGGTGGGAGGAGGATCCCCGGGGAACGCGGTCACGCCCCTGAACCCGCCAAGCGAACAACCCGCAAACGCGCGACTCATCCACCAATCCGGGGGCGAGGACGCGGAACGTGCAGGGGGGACGACCTCCGCGCCCTGGTCTACAGACGCTGCCGCAGGTGCTCCGCATTCCTCTCCGTCACGGCCTCCTAAACTGCCGCCGTCGCTGGCTCGACCAACGCCATTCCCGCCCTCAGACACATCTCCCGCCATTACTCCTTCCCTGCAAGTTGATAAGGAGCAGGAAGAACGATTGTCCCCCGCCAGTGATGACCATTCAGCCAGAGAGGACGAGTGGTCGGGATTATCTGCACTTCATCAGTCACGCCTGGAACCAGAGCAAGAGAAGGAAGATACGGAACAGAGTGAAAAGATAATTCTGGTAACAGAAGATAAGCCGGTACTGATGAAATCTCAGGGGAGAAAGAGGTGGATAAATAGGCGAGGGAAAAAAGACAAAGGAAGAATGGAAAGGCCCAAGTTGGAGGCGACACCGAATAAAAAGAAACTGGAGGAAAGAGACAAAGAACAGCAAACAGAGAATAGATGGCCCGTCACGACCTTAAGCCACGAGGAGGAGGAAGCAGGGTACAAAGAGAATCATTTGACCTTTGGCGCCGACGTGAACGGTGGTGAGAAGGAAGCCGTAGAGGAGAGTGACACAGAGGAGGAGAAGAGTGGAGTGGGAGCTGGGAGATTGGGACGCATCAACCGCCAGTCAACCCATCAGCGACATGACTCGGCACACATGCCAATCAGAGTCGCGCCGAGTAAAGGTGCACCTATCAGGCTATCAGACCAATTCGTGCATGGCGGGGTGAAGGGGGCGGCAGGTGCAACTGAGAGGAAAGCATCGATGCAGAGGGTCCTAACAGTCCTCCTTCCCGACCAGTCTGGAGTTTTCGACTACAAGAAGTACAAGAAAGACAATGCCGCTCAGCTCAGTCGCCGTCAAACTTCCCCAAACTCAAGTTCCGAGTCTGACCTGAAAGGTGGCCGCAACGTGGAAGATCGCCTCAAGCAAGCTGCCTCGAGCAAGGGCCGCCCCAGGAGTGGCGGTGATGAAATATCTTCCAATCTCACCACGGGAGATGGAATAGCAGTCTCTCATATACCAGAGGACGCCGGTGCAAGAGCAGGGCTCCCGAGTCGCCGCTTGGCCGGCGAGCGGGAAGACCAGTTTACTCAACGTCAGAAAGGCAGCGTTAACAATGATGCGGATAAAGAAAAGCAAGAAAGTAGAGGCTGGTGGAACGCGGCGAGAGGCGCTGGTGGAGAGGTCGGAAGGTCGCCTCTCTCCTCCATCTCAACCTCACGACCTCGGCCACTAACCAGCGTTGAAGGACGCGTCGAGTCCATCAGAGGGGTTGGCTACCATAAGGCCGTCAGGGATTATGGTGAGTACTCGAGATCTTTCGTGTGAATTCCGTTCTTTATTCAAATCTCCGTCGAGTGGTTGTACTCATGCCTTCATAATGTGCTCAGATCTTCTCTATACACCAATATATACTCATCTCCGTCTCCCCCAACATGTACTCACCACCGTCTCCCCCCAACATGTACTCATCTCCGTCTCCCCCCGACATGTACTCATCTCCGTCTCCCCCCAACATGTACTCACCTCCGTCCCCCCCCCCCCGACATGTACTCACCGTCTCCCCCAATATGTACTCATCCCCTCTATGTTCCTGGTATAAAGGGTGAGTCCATCACGTTCCCAACTCTAACCTCCACTCCTTATAGTTATATAATCCCGAACTACATATTTAAACCTCCACTCCACATTTGTATAAACTCGCTGTCCATATGCACTCAAGGGGGGTCCACTTTGCACTCAGGGGTCCAGTGTGCACTCAAAGCGACGTTCAAAGGAGGTTGAAGAATTATCTTTCGATATAAAACGAGATCCCATTTGGGCTTAAAGCTTCAACGACCGGCCTTCTTCTTCCCCCCTCTTCCATTCCCCTTTCCCTCCTCCTCCCCCAACTCCTAATCTCCCTTTCCCCTTCTCCCTATCCCTCTCCCCCTCCCCCAACTCCTAATCTCCCTTTCCCCTTCTCCCTATCCCTCTCCCCCTCCCCCCTCTCCTTCCCGACAAGGAGATGGTTGAAAATATTGATTACCTGGAGCGTGTCAGGAGACGAGGTGTGGTAGTCATCCCGAGACACACACACACACGCTTGCTTATATTCTCATTCTCTCTCTCTCTCTCTCTCTCTCTCTCTTCTCTCTCTCTCTCTCTCTCTCTCTCTCTCTGTCTCTCTCTCTCTCTCTCTCTCTCTCTCTCGCTCTCTCTCTCTCTCTCTCTGCTCTCTCTCTCTCTCCTCTCCTCTCTCTCTCTCTGCCTCTCTCTCTCTCTGCCTCTCTCTCTCTCTCTGCTCTCTCTCTCTCTCGCTCTCTCTCTCTCTCTCTCTCTGCCTCTCTCTCTCTCTGCCTCTCTCTCTCTCTCTCTGCCTCTCTCTCTCTGCTCTCTCTCTCTCTCTCTCTCTCTCTCTCTCTCTCTCTCTCTCTCTCTCTCTCTCTCTCTCTCTCTCTCTCTCTCTCTCTCTCTCTCTCTCTCTCTCTCTCTCTCTCCCCTGCTTCTCTCCCCCCCTTCTTTGGAATTGCACGTCCACCTCTCTCTTACTCGGGAGGAAGAAAACGTATAAGAATCGGCCAAGTAAAATTTGCATTAATAGTGGAGACTGGGGTAAGAAAATAGGGATATGTTTTATTTTATGTGTATGGTATGCATATTGGCCTAGATGTGCTCGTATGGTCGAGCGTCAGCTCCTAAGCCCCGCCACTTAACTTTTCACCAACACACTGTTGTGTACTGCTGCATGTATGTAGCCTTGCATTTGTCGGGTTCGAAGTCAAGTGGCCATTTGTCGGCCCATCTCTCTCTCTTTGAGTGTGTCTAGGTCCTCTTGCGCCATTCTTCAGTCCTCTGTTCTGATGCTTCTCGTTCGTTTGGGATCGTCTCCCCATCTCTGATTTGAAAGAAATTGGATCCTCTGTCAAGTCGTTGACGTCTGTGAGGGACATGATGTTTCTTGCACTGATCCTTGTGTTTACTTGGCTCCTCTCGTCCCTCTTCGCTGTGTGTGTGTGTGTGTGTGTGTGTGTGTGTGTGTGTGTGTGTGTGTGTGGTGTGTGTGTGTGTGTGTGTGTGTGTGTGTGTGTGTACTCACCTAGTTGTGTCTGCAGGATCGAGCATTGACTCTTGGATCCCGCCTCTGTGTGTGTGTGTGTGTGTGTTCTCACCTATGTGTACTCACACTATTTGTGCTTGCCAGGATTGAGCTCTGGCTCTTTGGTCCCGCCTCTCAACTGTCAATCAAAAGGTGTACAGATTCCTGAGCCTACTGGGCTCTATCATATCTACACTTGAAACTGTGTATGGAGTCAGCCTCCACCACATCACTGCCTAATGCATTCCATCTGTTAACTACTCTGACACTGAAAAAGTTCTTTCTAACGTCCCTTTGGCTCATGTGGGTACTCAGTTTCCAAGTGTGTCCCCTTGTTTGCATACCACCAGTGTTGAATAGTTTATCCTTGTCTATCCGGTCTATTCCCCTGAGAATTTTGTAGGTTGTGATCATGTCTCCCCTTACACTTCTGTCTTCCAGTGTCGTAAGGTGCATTTCCCGCAGCCTTTCCTCGTAACTCATGCTCCTTAGTTCTGGGACTAGTCTAGTAGCATACCTTTGGACTTTTTCCAGCTTCGTCTTGTGCTTGACAAGGTACGAGCTCCATGCTGGGGCCGCATACTCCAGGATTGGTCTTACATATGTGGTGTACAAGATTCTGAATGATTCCTTACACAGGTTCCTGAATGCTGTTCTGATGTTAGCCAGCCTCGCATATGCCGCAGACGTTATTCTTTTTATGTGGGCTTCAGGAGACAGGTTTGGTGTGATATCAACTCCTAGATCTTTCTCTCTGTCCGTTTCATTAAGTACTTCATCTCCTATTCTGTATCCAGTGTCTGGCCTCCTGTTTCCACCGCCTAGTTTCATTACTTTGTATTTACTCGGGTTGAACTTCAACAGCCATTTGTTGGACCATTCACTCAGTCTGTCTAGGTCATCTTGTAGCCTCCTACTATCATCCTCTGTTTCAATCCTTCTCATAATTTTTGCATCATCAGCAAACATTGAGAGAAACGAGTCTATACCCTCTGGGAGATCATTTACATATACCAGAAACAGTATAGGTCCAAGGACTGACCCCTGCGGGACTCCACTTGTGACGTCTCGCCAATCTGAGACCTCACCCCTCACACTGACTCGTTGTCTCCTGTTGCTTAGGTACTCCTTTATCCAATGGAGTACCTTCCCTTTCACTCCAGCCTGCATCTCCAGCTTTTTCCCTAGCCTCTTGTGTGGTACTGTATCAAAGGCTTTCTGACAATAAAAAATATGCAGTCTGCCCACCCTTCTCTTTCTTGCCTGATTTGTGTTGCCTGGTCGTAGAATTCCAGTAACCCTGTGAGGCTGTGTGTGTGTGTGTCAGCACCTGACACTCGCTGGACCCCACCTTGGGGGCCCAGAGCCAGGAGGTCACCTCTCCCTTCCCTCAAATATCCGGCTTGCGGCGGGGGTGCTTCCAGTTTATCCGGGAATTGAACGAGCGTGTGTGTATATATATATATATATATATATATATTATATATATATATATTTATATATATATATATATGTGTGTGCAGCTTGTCCTTCCTTTTCCTGCAGTTCACACTCATTTTGTATGGTCTATCCAAATTTGTTTTCATTTTGTGTTTTAAAATGAATTACCTTGAATTTGGCAATTAACACCATGGTGTCCAATATATGCGGCTTGTGTTCAGGTGTACAAATAGGCCGCTCTGCTCTCCCATTAGGTCATCCCGGTGTGTGTGTCTGGTAACTCGGGTGCTGCCTACCAGGTACCTTTGGGGCTGTCTGTACGTTCCGGTGATCAGCCAAACTGTAGTGGGGTGTTAGTGCCGTACCAAAGTGTACCGTTAATCAACTGGTGAGGTGTGTGGAGGTCCGTTGAACGGAGCCGGGTGTACTCAGCTAGTTGTGCTTGCGGGGGTTTGAGCTCTGGCTCTTTGGTCTCGATTTTGTGTGTGTCGGGGAGGTGGTGGTACGCCCTGGTGTGTGTGTGTGTATGTGTGTGTGTATGTGTGTGTGTGTGTGTGTATGTGTGTGTGTGTGTGTGTGTGTATGTGTGTGTGGGTGTGTGTGTGTGTGTACTTACCTAGTTGTGCTTGCGGGCTCTTGAGCTCTGGCTCCTGGGTCAGACCAAAGACTTCTGTGCTCTGGATGTTTGGAATGTGCAAAGACTTTCATTAATCAGAGCCAGACTTCTGCGTGTGAACTAAAATGACAAAGTAAACATTGTATAATATTCGAAGCATAAATCATTTATATTAAAATACTTCACTATTTACAACCAAGAATTTTTTGAACTCTAAACAAATAAAAACAAAAGTGTTCTGAACTATATTAATTATCTCTTTTTTTCACTGAAATTACAATATTATTTTAACGTTGAACATTTAAATGTGAAATACAAAATTAATGGAGTTTTTTTCGATCAAAATACGCCTTTACATAGGCCTAATCACAACGGGGGGAAAGCATAGATTTTGTGTCCTCTGATGTGGTGTCTAGAATGATAGTCCCCCCCCCCCCTAGTCCTATCCCGCCAAACACACCGAAACTACGACGTTGGTACAACGTTCAACCAAGTTTTAACACTTCCTAACCAGTTATAACAACCAATATAGCAAGTTGTAACAACGTTCTAATACGTCATAAACACGTTAAGCCAAGATGTAACAACTTTATTACAAGTTGTAACGAGCGGAAAATAGAGACAGTTACGGTTTGTGTTTATAGTCTTTGGTCTGATCAGTCAGACTGTTGGTGGTCGCCTCTTCATGCAGGCCGACGTGTAAGGAACCACAACAGTCCGGTGGATCAACTGGCTGGTTCACGACGCCCTCACAGGTCGTACTGCGGGGTTTTATTTGACTATTTGTCAACCTTGGAGGTCGTGCCAGCGATGAAGAAGCGCTAAGTCGCAGTTTTTGTGACTTGGCGGATTTATTAAAGGAAAATCTGGTTATGTAATCATGGGCTTGGTTGCTGCTGAAGCTCTTTACTCTTCCCTCACTCTGGCTCAGCCCTCACTCTGGCTCAGCCCTCACTCTGGCTCAGCCCTCACTCTTCCCTCACTCTGGCTCAGCCCTCACTCTTCCCTCACTCTGCCCTACCCTCTGGCTCAGCCCTCACTCTTCCCTCACTCTGGCTCAGCCCTCACTCTGGCTCAGCCTGGCTCACTCTTCCCTCACTCTGGCTCAGCCCTCACTCTTCCCTCACTCTGGCTCAGCCCTCACTCTTCCCTCACTCTGGCTCAGCCCTCACTCTGCCCTCCCTCTGGCTCAGCCCTCACTCTGCCCTCCC